GCAAAATATTAAACTGGAAAATATGGTAGACTAGGTAGACGGTCAAAATTTCAATTACACAGTACGAATTATTTATTTATAAATAAAATCATTTGCTGAAATATGAATCCTACTATTTTTACATTTAAAGATGAATTATATATGCACAATGTTACTAAGTTCACATAACATACTAATGCTAGTTTTACCAGAAATTATAAATTAGTTAAATATTGATTATGTTATTTATATATTCTTGTATTACTTGCAGACAAATTGTCGAAATTAGTGTATTTTTCATTTAGCAATAATGTGACTAGATTTTTTTTTAACTTCCCGTAGGGTCAGTTATAGTAATCGCAAAAAAATCGAAAATAAAAATTTTTATATATCTTTACGTTTCAGAGGTTTCTGAAAATTTTGGCATAGCTTAAAAAATGAATGTATGTGTGTGTGTGTGTGTGCGGATACAAATTTTCGTCGACGATTTCGTGAACACAGTTCAACCGATTTCAATTATGTATTTAAAAAAAACATTCGATTGCTGTTGATAAGGAGACGTGGTAATTAGTTTTTGGAATAGGCGGGTCTAGCAGCTTCGAAGATACGGGGCAAAAAGTGCCAAAAACGGTAACTCAGTTTTTAAGAGAACGAAGCGTCGGATTTTAATAATTCAAAAAAGATTTTACTTGTATTAACAAGATGAAGAACTGATTAAATTTTTGGGAAGGCAGGTCCAGCAGTTATGGACTCTCAATAAAAATAGGTTGAAACTAGTGGGGCGCATGGCATCGTGCCTTAAGGCAAATTGCTAGAACTTCCCGTACCAAAAATTATTATTTTTTTAAAAAGATTAACATTGTTGAAAAAAATTTACTTCGAACAAATTAGATTTTTGAGAAACTATAAATTTGACAAAAAATTACCTTATTTTGAAAAAAAAAATTTTTTCTTTAATTTGACATTTTTTGGAAATTTCGTACTTTTTTTCAAAGCAATCGTACTGCTTCAACTACATAGAGACGAAATGTCAAAGCGCGTTAGCGCCGCGTCGCAGTCTAACGGATAAACATTGGTACGGAACCAATAAGAATGTAAACAAAATTCATACTTATTATTAAAATCTCTGTAAAATATCTGATAAATTGATGTGCATATGTCTAATGATCATTTTTGACCGCCAAATGGCATTTTTTTTTACTTTTTTCACTAGATCTCCGAAACAGCTAGACCTGCCTTCATGAAAATTTGATCAATTCTTCATCTTGTCAATAAAAGTAAAATGTTTTTAAATTATTTTAAACGCTAAAACTTATAGAGGATTTTTTTATCAATTTGGAAGCATTTGAGCCCTTGGGAGCTCAAACTACCCGCTTACATTCACTTTTCAACCCACTTTAAAATAATATACTTAGTTATAAATATTAGTTTTATTAAAATCAGTATGATATAATATATAAACAGAGAACAGATAATTTATCTAATTATTCACATACCATTAAATAAGGTATTAAAAGAAAACATTATTTGTTAGCAGCATAGGAAATGACATTTCCAAATTAAAATCAATAAAAACATTAAATTATTATTTACAAACATGTTATAACAAATTATTGCATTATACATTTATCTTTAATACTTTTGAGCTGAGTACATTTTATCAAAATACTTATTCTAAAAACATTCAGTTAGAACTGAACAACATTTTTTATTAGAAAATCTCATTGAGCTAAAATATTGATATAAATACTATATAGAGGATAATATAATAAATAAAAGCGTACTAGAGCCTTACAACATTGCACGATTATAATTTTATACATAACAAAGCAAATATACAGAACAATCCGAAGGTTTGCATTTTCATCAATGCTATATTCAACATAAGAAATATTTTTTCACTGTTAAAAAAATATTTCTTGGTAACAAACCAGGGACTTGTAAACAGTATTTGATGCAAAAATATGTACATAAATATCATACATCTATCGATAAAGTAATACTAATGTAAAATTTAGCAGATTTATAAAATAAAATAGATAAAACTTAGAAATTAAAAAATAAATATTAGAAAAACTAATCATAAGTATTTGCACAAAAAACATTGCACATGTAATATCTTAGTAAATTAAAAAAATGTATTTTTCATCCATGTTTCTTTAAGAAACATGTGAGAAAATTGTGATGCTATATGTTGCAAAAAGAGCTCATAAATCATTTGCAAAAAAAAATTAATTTCATTTTAAAAAAGCAAAAGAAGTTATCATCGATCGCTTGGTAAAATTTACAAAAAAATGTTTGTTTATCAAAACAGTTAATATTTCGAGCATCATAAGCCCTCGCAAATCAACACAATATACTTCCAAGAACTGATTATAAAATAAACAATTTAAGAAAAATAATCATAACATTTTTAAAATGTCTTCATCATGCATTATGCATTTGAATTTTCATTATTATTTAATATTTCACAGTAAAAAGTCAATAAAACTAAACAAGCATCCAATACTCAAATAAAATTTCAATAATGTTTTTTTACGATTTTGCAAAAAGTATTCTTTAAGCATCTCAAGAAAGATGTATTCATTTATATCAAAATAAAACTTATATGAAACACCTCGAAGCACTAAGAAATAAAAATGTGAGTCAAATGCACTGAATATTTGTAATAAGTTACATCCTAGATAATTAAAATTTATTCAAATTTAGATGCATAAATCAGAACACACAGCTTGGGTTAGAATTAGATTATAAAATTAAAAATAAAGTAAAATATACATTCCAAAATAAAAATCGATATTACTTCATAAAATAGGGTATAACACGTAAATATTTTTTACATATTTTAAAGAATATAGAAATGTATATTAATAATGTTTAAATATTTTAATTGTTCATAAAGTTGTTTAGAAGAATACGCATGTGACGTGTTTTATTTTTAAATACTATTAATTTTTATAATGTTTGAAGTTCTCGATAATATATATACAGGATGTCCCAGAACTCAACTTCAAGACGAAATAGGGTGACAATATTATATGAAACCATAATCAAAATACAAATAGAAATAAAATTATCCCATAAAATTTGAAAATGGTGAGCTTTTTTTTAGTAAAACCTGGAGCTTTAGTGAAACTGTAACCATTTTTTGTTTATTGTGGTTATTTGTTATTATTTCTGTTCATTTAACTATGAAACCATAACTGTAATTACTATTTTCGAAAAGAAACCAAAATTTTTAAATTAATATAAAGAAATAAACAAAAAAATAATTTTATTTTATGCAAATTTTTACTTGATATTTCATATTAATTTGTGGTCTGTTAATATCAGTTGAGTATCTATGAAATAAAATTGTTGAAAAAATTAAGAGAGACGCAACAAATTTTATATTAGAGCAGGGGGGCGCGGTGCGAAAATGGTTGGAAACCACTGAGTTAAAATATGAAAATATAATTTTCAAAATTCATCGACTTTGAAAGGTTGTCCTTCAAAGAAAAAAACCTCTAAAGTGGTAAAATGGTACAATAGTTGTTAGTTTTATACTAAAAAATAACTAGAAGTAGTAGAAAAATAAAAATCTAGAAATTACAATATTTTTGATATTAACAATATAACAAATATGTTATTTCTAGGTTTTTAATAATAAAACAATAACCGAATAACAGCTTTACTGTTTTACTTAAAAGCTCACAATTTTCAAATTGTATAGGATAAGAAAAATTTCTAATTTTTGCACGATGGTTACAGTCAATCCTGTTACCCTGTATCTACTTGAGTCAATGTCATGTTCCTGAACACCCTGTATAAAAGATATCTTTTGTTAAGATACAGTAGAACTTCAATTATCCGAACTCCAATCATCCGAACTCCAATTATCCGAACTCCAATTATCCGAACTCCAATTATCCGAATCGCCGATTATCCGAATCACTTTCAGAAAAAAAATTGTCCAAAAAAAGTCTAAGTGCGCTCTTATTCTTCCACCAGCAAAGCCAAAGTAGGCACATTGTTTGTTTTGATTTGACGGAGATGTTTAAAAAACAATGATTTTTATTTCTAAACTTGTACATAAGTACATTTTATTTATATTTAAAACATGTGAAAATATCATGTTTCTTTCATTTAATTCAATAAAAAAATAGTGCAATATCAAAACGTAACTTTTTTTCTCTCCAATGGCAATTTTTAAAAAAAACTTCGATTATCCGAATGGGTCCCGGTCCCCATTAATTCGGATAATTGGAGTTCTACTGTATTAGATTTCAAAGTAAAAAAGATATCTAATACAGTAGAAGTCCAATTATCCGAATTAATGGGGACCGGGACCGATTCGGATAATCAAATATTCGGAGTTTTTTTTTTTAAATTGCCATTGGAGAGAATAAAAGTAACGTTTTGATATTGCACTATTTTTTTATTGAATTAAATGAAAGAAACATGACATTTTCACATGTTTTAAATATAAATAAAATGTACTTAAACGAATTAAAAAAAAAAAAAAATGTACAAGTTTAGAAATAAAAATCATTGTTTTGTAAACATCTCCGTCAAATCAAAACAAACAATGTGCCTACACTGGCTTTGCTAGTGGAAGAATAATAGCGTACTTAGACTTTTTTTGGACAATTTTTTTTCTGAATGTGATTCGGATAATCGGCGATTCAGATAGTTGGAGTTCGGATAATTGGAGTTCGGATAATTGGAGTTCGGATAGTCGGAGTTCGGATAATTGGAGTTCTACTGTAGTTTCAAAAAATAATAATTTAATTAACCGTGTCAATAGCATACTGCTTAATAATATATTTCTTATAGTCTCTTAATGTAATATTCATAGATATTATTGATTATGAATAAGATTTATTCAGTGATTTTAAGACTGAAATTAATTAATAAGAATATTGAATAAACCACATAAATTATTAAACTGTAAAACTTCAGATTTAAATACCCTCGCAGTAAGAATGTAATATTCTTACTTTTCATAGTTTTATTTAATTAGAATAAAAATTTCTTCTGCTGTATATGAATTTATGAGTTAAAAATATTTAGTGCATTCGACTCACTTTTATAAAACATTGTCACATACATAAAATTAATCAGACGGCAGTTTGTGTATTAGTAATTCAATCCATCGTCACTTGTGTCTGATATGGATTCACCTCGATTGAAACCAAAGGCCTTCGAATTGCCCCCTGATAGCCATTCCAGTCCAACAGCCCCATGATATGATTGAGACCTCAAAACTGCTCCTCCGCTAATTTTGTTATCACATTTTTTTCAATAATTCAGTTAATTGCACTTTTGTAATGATATGCACTAGCACAGTAACTCAGGTCGTCTATTTTTCACTAGATTATCTTTTTCAACATATTTCATTGAAGAAATGTGTTTAATTCGATTGGCGCGGAGAAATTGGCGGTCTAAAGTTTTGATCAGATACATGTGTTATTTAATCATGTAAATTAATAAGTAATCTGTGAGCAGATTTATAATATTTTAATTAATATAAAACAAAAAACAATGAAGAGGTAGTTTTTACACTTGTCCTTCTATTATTTAAAAAAAAAACAGGAAAGTAATAAGTTAATAAAAGAGCTTCCTCAGACTTTGTTTAATTTTAAAACTACGCATTTTGAACCCTCTATGGGAAATAGGTGCAAGTGGTATTTTGCCTTAAGGCAAGTTGAATGTATTTCCCTATATGCAAAAATAATCCTCGTAAGCATTAATACTTATCAGCTTTTGAATTTTAACGATTATATGTTCAACTGTTTATTTTGAAAATACTGTTCTTCGCTAAAAACTAATCAATGCGACATTCGAAATTCCAATTGATTCTTTTCAAACAAAGTTATAATATTGTAATTGTGCTAATTAAAGTTTCCACTTTAACTTTAATGTTTAACATTAAAATAAAAAAAAATCATTTTTGTAAATTACTTATTAACTTCCCGTAGGGTAAGTTATTGTAATGGGCCGAAAATCGGAATTGAAAATTTTTACATTTCTCGACGTTTTGAAGGTTTCTGAACGTTTTGGCATACTTCAGAAAAAATGGATGTGTGTGTGTGTGTGTATGTATGTGTGGATACAAATTTCAAGTCACGTTTTAGGATCAACCGATTTGAATGGTTCAAAAAACATCCGATTCCTATTGATAGAGAAAAGAGCTGATTAGTTTTTGGCAAAGGCAGGTCCAGCCGTTTCGGAGATACGGAGCAAAGAGTGCAGAAAATAGAAATCGTATTTTTGAGAGAACGGAGTATCCGATTTGAATGATCTAAAAAACATTCAATTAGTAATGATTGGGAGAAGTGTTTATTAGTTTTTGGCAAAGGCAGGCCCAGCCATTTTGAAGATACGGAGCTAAATATGTAAAAAATGGCAGTTTTTGAGAGAACTAAGCGTCCGATTTAAATGATTCAAAAAACCTTCTGCTTGTCTTAACAAAATAATCGATTTTGGAAAAAAAAAATTGTCCCATTTTTTTTTTTTTTTTTAGTTTTTTGTATATCGAAAATATTTATTTTTAATTCTGACTATAGTTCTAATATACTTTACAAATAATATCAACTCTGCAATTCAGTTTATATGATATTTATAAATATTATACAATGTTACAATATTTATAATAATCTATTTGAAAACATTCAGTAATCCTCGAACATTTCGTTACGGTACGGGAAGTTCCAGCAATTTGCCTTAAGGCACGATGCCACCCACCCCACTAGTTTACTATGCGATAAATATAAATAAAACGTGCATAGTGATCCACAATCTGATCTTTCGTCCTCGATTTTTCAAAAAACGGCTTTACCGATTTTAAAAATTTTAAAGCCATACGAGGAAACTCGATAAAAACTCGCACTTTATGCGGTGATCAGCCAACCCGCTTCTTTATAATTAGCATAAAAATGCAAAACTCTTCGTCCACATTATATCCAAAAATCATGAATCAATTTTAAAACTTCAAAATTCCTGTTCCTCGCAATTAAAAGTAAAATTTTCTTTTAGTTTTTAATGAAAATTAATATGCCGACGAGTTTATGATCTAGACGAACATCTTAAAATATTAAAGACCTACGAAAAATCATTGGATTATAAAAATTGAGCCATGTGTGTTTGAGCACTTTTTTCACATCACATATATCATAAGTCAATTAGAAATCGCATTGATTAGTTTTTGATGAAAGGCAAAAACTTAATTTGTGAAATAAACCGCTTAAAATTTCATCTAAGTAGTGAAATTCCATTTCTTATTTAATTCATAAGGCAAATATTAACACTTAAAAAGTTCGTGCAACTTGATCATGATTTTAGAAATCACTATACTGAACATGGGCTTTATTCTTATGTACCAAAAATATAGATTTCAGATTAAACCAATCAATCAATCAATTTAAATTTAATTAATCACCGAAGAAGAGACTAAGACTTGACTAACAAATGAAAAAAAAAATCCTTATTAAAAGTACTCCCCTAAAATAAAAAAATTTCATTTAGTACAATACATTCTATTCTCTGATATAAACTAATTCAAACACAACTGTAGAAGATAGAAAATCAAGTATCTACATTAGACTAATATTTTACTCACAAACGAGTTTCAACTTAGATTGTATCACATTGTTTAAATAATGTTAAAAATTTATTTATTAAGGCTACAAAAGAGTTATTATAAATCTGCTCTCACTTTTGTTTTTAATTCAAATAAATACGTGCAATGATACTCATTACATTGTTGATGATTGAAAACATGAAAATTTCAATCAATGCAAAAGCCAGTGAAATACAAACACAAGTGACTGTGCCAGCGATGAAACAAACAAACATACATAGAATTTGTGATATGCTGCATGATGTAATTGTATTTTAATATGCTAACAATTAGCATCATATAGAATTTTATCAGAATATTATTTACTATATTAAAAAATAATATTGATTTCATTTACCATATCAAAGAATAGCATAAGATGATTTATTACCAAAAAAATATTACTTCAACATGTAGTATTTAATATAATAATTTGTAACAACAAAATATATATTTAATTTGCAAAAATATAATCTAACTGATAATGATTATGTATAAAATGTAGTCAAAATATTAATATTGTAAAATGAATAAAATGGTTAATGTAAATACTGATTAAGTCAAAACATCAATATCATAAAATGAATAAATAGGTGATCAAAACTGTGAAGCAGTTGAAGGTAAAAGCAATTCATCACACAAAAGAAAAAACAAACAAAAAAAATAACTTAATTTACCTCTGTAATGGAGAATAGTTTTCATTTTCATTAAATGATTGGGTCATTATGTTGGAGCTAGCTATTTTCTTAGCTAATTCGGCCTTCTTTCTGCCTTCAGCAGCAGCTAAAGAGATAATATATAAGTTAATTTATTATAAATTAATATATTCATTTTTATTCTTGTTTGGCATGCCTCGGATACACGAGTGCTTACGTATAATATTTTATTTATTAATTATTTTTTATTTTTTATAAAAAAAAAATTACTGACATTTGGTGCTTGTTTCCAATAATTAATTTTTTACGAGCTGTTATTAATATATCTAAGTGATAATCTAAGATTTTCAAGTTAGTAACGTTTTATACAATATTTTAATTTAAGGTTTAGATATAATTAGTCTGTCTCTTTAGTTAAATCTCTTTCTTTTTATTCTTGCTCTATGTAGATTTAGTTTTTTGTAGTAGTTTAGTTTTTTGTGTAGTTTAGTATAGAACATATGGAAAAATAAAGATGTTTTAAAACATCTTCACTTTATTTATATTTTTTACTTGATGTTACGCCCTCCAAGAAATTAATCATATATATATATATATATATATATATATATATATATATATATAATTTACACAATAGGGTACATATTTGTAAAAAATATATATCTACCTTTCATAGGATCATATTTGGCCCTGCGCTTCCAATTTGCCATTTCTTGCTCCTTTGTGGGATTTCGTACAGGAACTTCAAAAATAATATAAAACAAACATTAATTAAACAGAAATTTTTAAATCAAACAATAAATAAAACAAGGAAAACTTCAAGTGCAGATTGACATTTTAAAATAAGTTTTCCAATTTTTTCAAAGCGTAATTTTGGAAGCTTGGTTATAATTATTTAATTACGTATAATTATATATATATATATATATATATATATATATATATAACATAGTCTATAGTCAAATCACGATTTAAAAACCAACTGTGTGTTACAAAGGGATGGTTTGCCATTTTTCTTATTTATTGGCTTAACATTATGTAATTGAATAAAACAACATTCAGCAAAACGCCCTTTGAATAAATTGTCTTCAAATTTAACAATATAGTCAGGTTAAGTAAGTTTATGTTATGTTTTGATGTGTTCGGTCAGCATAGTTTTAAATTTGTTTGGAATTGTTTGCTGAAGGCACTTTTTATTAAATGTTGGCTGGTTTTACTAATATATATTAAATAATTGACTCAGCAAATGATTTGATACACTATATTCCAAAACTTGTGGTAAAATTAGTATTAGTAGTAGTGTTAAATTTGTAAAATTGAAGTGTAATACTTTTATATACGGTAAACAAATGACATTTCTAAATTCAGTAGGTTATTAGTGTCAATATCTTGTCAATATGATTGTTAGTTTTATGAAGTAACAAAAATACTTTAGAATACTTTTATCATTATATCTCAAAATAATTTCCATATCGCAAATAAATTATCTTCTGAAAAATTGTTCTGTTGCACATAGTGTTGTACTGTTATAACATATCCTCATATCATGGATTATTATTTCTACTTTTAATATTGTTTTAGTAAGTTTCACAACTTATTTTTTATTTATAAAATATCTCTGTTGCATATTTTATTAATTCCACTGAAAGAAATCTAAAACAACAGCATGACCAATAAGCATGAATTTTCAAAGTAAATTTTTAAAATAATTCTAATTTTTATGATGTTACTTTAGATTATTAGGTTCTGTTTATACGTGTCAACAGCGAATATAAAATTACAGATGCAGGGAAATATTTATAGTGAGTTGAAACGCTTTTATATGAATATGAAAAAAAAACTTAATGATTCTACTGAGCAAATATTATTAATGATATACCTTTAAATATCAACTTTAAGTTTTTAATTGTGCATATATAATTATAATTATAATTATATATATATATATATATATATATATATATATATATAAATATATATTAAAACAAATATTCGATATAAACAAATATTTTATCTGACCTATGTCCTTTTTAATTACACCTTTCCCAGGGCCAGCGCTTCTTGTAGACCGTAAACTCAATCTGATATCATCATTCCTGGTCAGATTTTTATTCTTGGCAGCACTTCCTGGTACACTTTTCGTTTCCAAATAACTTTTACTCTCATCTTTTTTCAAAAATGATGCAGTAGTTGGAGATTTATACTTGGAAATATCCATGTACCTTGGCTGCACACTCGCGGTTACTTTTTTCTGTCCAGCAGAAGATACATCACTCACGTTTTCTGATGGTTTGGGATTAGCAAGACGCTTGTTGATACTTATATCGCGTGGTCCAGTGCTTTTTTCTCTAAATGAACTTCTGACAGATCTTCTGGTAGAATCAGCATTGTTACGAACAAAATTGGATGCAGGTTGCTTGGTTGCTGATACAGATGTATCACTTTTTTCGGATTCTAGTCTCGCTCGTCGTAAACTGAATGCGCGGTTACAACGCGTATTTTTTATTTTTTCAGGCTTTGGGGTCGTTTTATCGTTTTCGTATTCGTAATCGGACTTGATGCCATCACTGAAATTATCGTTGTTGTCATGGTAATTGTTATAGTTTGTGTATTTCCTAGTGCTCCTAGGTGAATCCATGAACGGAGTGTTATTATGTCTGCTCCTCAAAGGAGTATCATTTGCATGTGAAGAAAATGAGCTAGAACGTCTGATCGGGCTTGAATTTGGTGAATTCTGGTGTTTTGCTAACTTGTTTCTGACGTCGTTAAAAGAATTTTTATTGTTGATTTGCAAGTTATTGTCCTTGAATGTGCTCTTCAACAAGTTATCCTTGGAAACCGAAATTGTTTGATCAATATTCAGTTTAGAATTAGTATCATTTTTATTTATAAAACATTTGATAGGCTTGGGTGGTAGTTGATCACCATATCCTAAATCTTTGTTATTCTTTTCTATATAATCGTGCTTTTTTAGATTGTGGGAATGCTCATAAACAGCTTTAGATAAATTATTCTTTTGGGTCAACGAATTGTTCATCAGTCTATTGTGTGAAGGTGAGGCAAACTCTATTTGAGACAATGAATTATCAAATGAGAAGTGCCTTTTATGCCTTGAAGGTCCAAATGTTCTTTTTGGTGATGTTGGGCTTGATTCAGACTTCAAAGGTCTGGTGTTATAATCATTGCTTTGCGATAACCTAGTTTCACCGTCAGATGATATGGTGACATAAGATATGTGTTTTGGTGATGTGGAAGAATCTAAACTATGCATGGGTGATCCATTGCGACTGTCGGAGTAAGTTGCATAATTGGATACTTTAGGTCCAGTGCTATTTGAAAGACTGCAGGATAAAATATTGATCACGTCTTCGGTATTTCGTAAGTATGCATGTGTGTCAGCAATGGGAGAATTTAATTCCTAAAAAGATAAAAAAATTACAATTATTTATAAAAAATATAGCAAATTTTAAACTTTGCTTAATTCTATTTATAAACTAGTTGGTATTGGTATTTTGCCCTAAGGCAAGTTACATGAACTTCCCGATATGTGTAAATAATCGACTTCATCAATAAAAAAAAAAAAAGATTATGAGTGATTAAAAGTATTACGAGTGGATTTATTACAAATAATTAGAAACGAACGAACACGTTAACTCGGAGTATTTTCTAACGGCAAATTTTCACAAATTAATAATTTTTATAATTGAACCAGTTTCCGTAGGACTTTAATGGTTTAGAAGGTTCATTAAGACCAAGTACTTTATCGTTATACCAAGTAAATCGTATTTAATCCACTCATTTTCTTTAAGTTTGATAAATTTTTAAAATTAAACTACTTGTCGTAAGGCCGTAATAGTTCAGTAAGTTCTATAAGACCATGATATATATCGCCAAAAAAAGTTCCATAAAAATCGGCTTAATTTTTTTTTTCAACAGTTAGTTAAAAGAAAACGGCTCGAAAGATTTTTAACCAAAACTAATCAGTATCATTCCCAACTAATATCTTTCGAACAGTTTTTGATTTATCAAAATCGATTCGGTAGTATGAGCTTAAATGTAGACGAAAAGTTTAACATTTTTTTCCAAATTACAAAGAAACGGCTCGGCCGATCGCTGCACAAAACTGAGAAAAGATAATCCACATCAAAACACATTGATTTTGGCTTTTAAATTTTTGAAATCGGTTTAGGCGTTTTTGAGCAAACTTCGATGAATTTTGACAAATGCCAAAAAACGGTATTAAAACTTTGACGAATTTTTAAAATTAAACGGCTTGTCGTAGGACCGTAATATTTTAATTAGAGTGATTTAAAAAACATTTAATTCGTATGGACGGGGAGAAATGCTGATTAGTTTTTGGCAAAAGGCAGGTACAGCGGTTTCAAAGATACGGGACAAAAAGTGCAAATAATAGAAGTTTTAGAGATTACAGAGCATCCGATTAGAATGATTGATTATGTTGAAATAGTTATTCACGCAAATTTATTAAGAAATGGTTAGTTTTTAAAGCAGACAGGTTCGGCAATTTCAAAATTTTGAAAAAAAGCAAAATTTACAAAAAATTCAAGTTTCTGAATTTCTCAAGTTTTCAAAATTTTCCAGAAAATTCTAAAAAATTCAAAATGTTCAAAATTCTAAAGTTTCCTTATATAGTTTGAACAAATAATTTTAATTCAGTTTCAAAATGTTTATATAATATAAATAAGGAATATGAGATAATTTCTTTGGAAGCATTTCAAGTAGTAATTATTCCGATTAGGTTTTGTTTATTATCTATTCGTTCCTTGTCTTCTTTGTATATACATAATTATATATATATATATATATATATATATATATATATATATACTAGCAAACCCGACAAACTCCGTTTCGCCACCAGATGGTTTCGTGAGAAAGATGAAGAAAGTTTGTTTGTTTTATATTTGAAAAGGAAAAATTTGATTTTGTTATACAACAGTAATGAATTTTTTTCGATTTCAAAAATGAAGTGTTTTTTAGTTGAACTTCTCTAAGTAAATGAAAGTGAATCCGCAAATTATCCGTTTCATTGAAGTGCTCTTTGGTAAACCACATTTTTTGTTTTTTGGTCTGACCTTAACACAAACAAAGCGGATGGTTTTCCAACTCGTGAACAGGCAACTTATAGCTGCCCATGTGAAAAACAATGATTTTCTAAATAATCTATTTGAAATTTATTCCGCAAACACTAAGTGATCGGCCTTGCGACTTGTTATTGCGAACGCAAGGCGAACTGGAAATTGCAATCGTTTGAAGTCAAAGGGAAGACCAGTCGGAATCATTGGTATGTCACAAAATCGCCAGCAATTTTTGATTAAATTGTGAAATTCAGTGCGTTTACATCATTAATCTTTGCGGCAAGAATTGCTCGTTGAGTTAACCAAGCATAATTCTGATAATTCTCACTAATGTCATTACTCGAATTTTTAATTACGGTGCGCGAAGTTCCTACAGCTTACATTAAGGCACGATGCCATGCACCACTAATTTTCTTAGCTATAAACCTTGCGGAGCCCAAGACCTTTCCAACGAATGCAAAATTGTCGAAATCGGTTCGGGTGTTATATATATATATATATATATATATATATATATATATATATATATAGAGAGAGAGAGAGAGATAGTTACCCAAACTTAGCACTTAACTTATATTGGACCAATAAAAAAACTTTACTAAAACGAATTTGTTATACATTAATAATCAATCTTTATTGATAATTGATTATTTTTCTTTTGCAAATATTCAATTATGGTACGGGAAGTCCCAGCAATTTGCCTTAAGCCACAATGCCATGTACCACTAGTTTAGTTTCTTTCAAATATATGGAGGATGCCTGTAGTTTTTAAATGAACTTATTCAGCCTCCTTTTTACAAATTAGCCATTTACATTATTATTATAATTACATTACATTCAATGATTTAATATAATATAAAAAAATGCTTTAAATTTTAAGCTCTTTAAACAAAATAACTCACACACATACAGAACTGGATCAGCATTAACTTTTTCTACTAACTTCTATTATATATTTATGTACAATTAATATGAAAATATGCATTATACTAATATAATTACTTACAGTAGTGCTCCCAGATAAACTGACACTATTTCTCGATCTAGGTCGTGCTAAAGTTGAGATCGGAGAAGGTATTTTTGTGGGACTAGCAGAAGGAGGACGTGGTGGCCTTTTCACTATAGAATCATTTATCCTATCATTATTCGTTCTACCTAAAGGCAATGACATAGCTCTATGAGAATTCTGTTTATTTCCATAATAATCACTTGCATTATCTGTACTGGAGTCCCTGTAACGATACTCATTATTTGCTTTATCACGTTCTCTTCTGTTGTGTTCTGAAGCCGACTTGGCCCATTCGTAAATCCAGTTGTTCTCAAACTTATTATTATCTTTAGAAGGTTTGTTCAGATCACACAATTGAGAGTTGTTTAATTTGCTATCAGGTTCAACATAGTCACTGGATTCTATCTCAGATTTAGTCAAACTTTTCTTTCTTTTCAGTAATATATCCAATTCATTTCGAACACCAAACTCATTTTTATTTTTTGTTGCTGGATTTTTATTACTAAGCACTCCACTGGCAGTAACGCTGGTAAAACTACCAATATCTAAATTATTATCAACTTGTTTTGGTTTGTTTTGTAAGGTTCTTTCACTGATGTTTCTCACACGATTCTTCAGCTTTTCTAAAACAGATTTTCTACTCCTGGCTTTACTTTCTTCTTGCGGCTCGTAGTAGTAAGATACTTCTAATACATTTTTGTCTGATGATACTTTACTTGGAGTATATTGTTTATGCCCGTTGGACACAAAATTACCCAGTTCTTCATTGTTAGAACAATCAGGTGTTAAATCCTTGGTATTTATAATAGTTTTACTTATATTTTTTGTTGATATAGGGCTTTCTTCATGCTTTATATTATTATCACAGCCTGTTGACTTGATACTAATACGAATAACTTCCGTATTGGTAGAATTTAGTTTTTGATCTATACTCATCTTAGCCTTTTGTTCTTCTGTGTAAGTATCATTTTCAATTGTGTAAGTCCCAGTTTCACTAACATCACTATTTGAATCATAGTCATTGCTTACATCGTTATTTGATTCTTTCGTCGAATGAGGAGGTTCAAATGTTTCTTCGTGTGTTGATATATTTGGTAATGAGCATAAATTTACTTCTTCTGAATAGCTTTCATGAAAACTGGTACGCGGACTGAGACTTTTGCTATCTAACCCAAAATTGGATGATTCATGGAAACTAACTGACATTGGCATTTTATTTTTACCTGCACTAGCTCGAGTATTTTGTTTCACAGGTTGCACAGATTCTTTGCTATGATTAGTTTTTGCTAATTTACTTACACCTTGTGTGGTTTTACTTTTAGACATCGTAGATTTAGATGGTTTTGTGTCTTCAAGTTTTGATAAAGATGCTCCTCGTTGGTGCCTTTTCTTTAATTTATCCATAAGAAATTTGTGTTTGGTTGAATCAATTTGTTTACCATCACCAAAATCTATAGTAAAAGCTTGTGATTTTTGAGGTTCTTCTGAAAATGATTTGCTCATTTCATCAGAACTTTTAGCACTATCCATTTTTTCTGTGTCTGGAATCTCTTCAGGTTCCTTTGTTTGTGACATTATTTCTTTATCAGCAGAAGTTTCTTCCACAACTTTTTCACATAAATCTTCTAAGGAATCCACAGTCTTTTCAGATGAACTGTGCTTATTTTCATCTTGTATGATATCCATTTTAATCCAATAATTTCACAAAGCCCACATTACCATATTTAACAATATCACGCCTATGGTGAAAATGACATCATTGGTATAAATACAATTTTATAATCATATGCACGCACGTAGTTATACACATTGCTTAATAAAAAATTTGTAACTACCACCCGAAATCTTAACACTTCTTGTAATAAATCTTGAGCTCAACATGTTAACTAGATAATAAATAATAATTTTGACGTCTGCCCAGTGGTAATGGACATATAGATAATATTCCTGTAAAATAATAACCTTCGTGAGAACTAATTAGGTCATTGTTATGTAAAATCAATGATTTATTATTAATTCATAATTTATTACTCACATATAACAATTACACTTATTTATAGAAAGTATTTTGTCGAAAGTGATCGCATATCTTTTGAATGCATTGTTCGAAATGTCAAATGGAATGACATTAGTGGCTGCCTTCGTGTCGGTCGGTTTCTCAACCTGTTTGATTCAAAATGGCCGCCCGTTGAAATTATTTGATAAACAAAAGCAATGTTTCTATAACAAACTATATTAAACTGCCATTATATCGCTTGATAATCTTGTAAATAGTGACTAATATTTACATATAATCGATATAATGTTATTATTATACTTTAACAATCAGGGATGGAAAACCTTTTTTGTAACGGATAACTTCAAGCGTGTGGGTTCGTCAAATAGAGAGATTAGGGGGCGTCCATTAATCACGTGATCGATTTTTTGAGGTTTTTTTGATCGCCCCTCCCCCTTGGTGATACATGATGGTATTCAAAATTACGCCCCCCTCCCCCACCAAACAAAAATTGTAAATATTATGATTTTTTTGAAAATACTTAGATTTTTTAAAAATAATTCAGGTAAAAAATACACGAGATATCTTACTATACCCCGCCCTCCACCACGTGATTTTGTGTGATTTTTTGTCAAACCCCCCCTCCCCCAAAAAACCTCACGCGTTTAATGGACGCGCTCTTAGGTTTATGAGAAACAGTACTTTATTAAGGGGGGAGTCTACTTTAGAGGCTTTGAAAAAAAACGTTTTTTTTTGTCGTGTTTTCCAAAATTAGCCAAGAATATATCGCTAAAATATCAGAACCAAATTCAAATTATTTTCGGAATTACAGAAGAAATAGTGAAACATTTTCTATTCATAGGCAGATGTGCTGATTAGTTTTTGGCAAAGGCAGTTTCGAAGATACAGTGCAAAAAGTGCAAAAAATGGCAAATTAATTTTTGAGAGAATAGAGCGTTCCTTTCGAATGATTCAACAAATTTTTCACTTGTATTGATGGTATGAAGTATTGATTAAATTTCTGGGGAGATAGGTCCAGCGGTTTCGGAGATCCAGCAAAAACAGTTTAAATAAATGCCACTAATCGGACAAAATTGACCATTAGACATATGCACATCAAATTATCAGATATTTTATATAGATATATTCATAAAAATTTTAATAATTAGTACATTTTTTTTAATGTCTATGGGTTCCGTACCAAGATTTATATTGTTTAAAGTTCACTTACATAGTTCAAACAAATGTCCTGGACCTTTTCCACAGTATGAATATGAAACAACCAACATGAATGGGTTTTAAAATTTTTACATATTTTCAAAAATTTCAAATTTTTAGAAAAGTCAACTTCCTTCAAAAATTTCTGTAAATCTCAAAGTTTTCAAAGAATCATCTTTTTCATAATTTTCATATTTCAATGGTACGGAAACTTCCTGCAACTTGCCTTAAGGCACGATCAAAATAGTCAATAAAATTTAGTTTGAATTGTAATTGTGAAGGCCATCAAATATCTTTTGAACGGCTTTTTAATTTTCCACATCCAAAATCGGTTTAGTATTTCTGCCTAAAATTTTGCCCTTATCTGATAATTCTAAAGAAGCAAATGTCTCAACAGTTCCTACCAAGTTCCATCATACCTTTTAAATATTTGAAATTGATGCAGCCGCTTTTGATAAAATTTTAGCAATAGGTCAATTTTTCGCAAACACGTACATACATTTTCCAAATTTGAAGTCGAACGATTCAAAATGACTTAAAACGCCAAAAAAACATGTGATTAGCGAATCGGAATTTTGTGTAGAAACAAACTTCTGCTTAGGGAAATAAAATATAATTCATTTAAGAATCATCTTTTCTTATTATATAGATGCATTTGAAAAGATCAATTTTTTGAAAAAAAAAGATCAGTTAACAAAAAATCTGTATCTGGATGTATATTTGAATAGATTTTTTTGATATTTTCACAAAAACTAGAATTATTTTAGATTAGATCAAGAAAAAATAAACAATGAAAATTCCATAAAAAATTGTGAACAAAAGTGAAGATACAATAATCATGTTTAATTTATATCTTTGCACCCAGCTAGTTGGACACTTCTGATTTTCAACAATATTCGAAAATCTTATTAAACTGCGTAGTGTAGTATGAAAAGCCGAGGTAGTAATGTATAACAAAATTATATTTATATAAACAATATTGGTAAATTATAAATACTGCTTGGTTCTTGATTTGAAAATTAGTTCTATAGAATTTCGATAACGTAAAGTAATATGTAATATGTAAAGTAATAATGTTAAACTCTAATGTAAGATTTATTAACATATTTTTTGTAAATTAAGTGTATGAATATATGTTTTAATAAATGTATATTGTACATTCTTGCACTATTTCTAATTGTGAAACCACTGATGATAACTTTTTAAAATTTTAAATTTATAGTTGAAACAAAAGTCTTTATACATTATTTGTGATATTATTTTTGGTCGCGATTCGAGAAATGATATTTACAGGTACGAATTCTAAGCTTAAATTAATATAAATAATGATAACTAACCATGGTAACCAAAAAATGATTACATTTTTACCAAAGCTCTAGGTTGCACTTAAAAGCTCATAATTTTCAAACTACACGAGATAAATTATTTTTATAATTTTTTTCTGTAATTATTGTCATAAATACTTTTATAATAAGGAATAGTTGTTCTTATTCATTTTTTATGATGATGGGATAATTAATTCTTACTTACAGTCTGCTAAAAAATTAATTAACCAAAATTATCCCTGCCAAACTGATTCAACCCAAGCATTATACTAAAATTGTCCTATAAAACTGATAATTTTAAAAAAATATATTTTTAGATAATATTATGTGTTGAAAATTGAAATGTTTAATGTCTTTTAATGATCTGAATTTTTTTAAATATCCGCTGTAAAAAATATTTAAAATTTAATTCTAAAAAATAAAACATAGCGCAGTATTCAAAGAGAAAGTAATTGTGATTGTATTTGACTGGTCAAAAATCTTTAAAATACTTTTGAAAAAACATAGATATTGTTGATTGAAAAGCTGTACCAAATATCATTTATAAGCAGCTTATCAGCAAAATGTTGTTTGATTTCAAAACCAGAATTCCTGATTCCAGAATAGTCTTTCAAAAAATATTGATGCTGTGAAAATATATTAGCACCTATATTTATTAATATCACTTTTTTTACCAAAAATGCCTTTTTTTTAAAAAAAAGAACTTATTAACTTCCCGTAGGGCAAGTTATGATAATCGCAAAAAAATCAAAAATAAAATTTTTTATATATCTTTACGTTTCAGAGGTTTCTGAAAATTTTGGCATACCTTAGAAAAAATTGATGTATGTGTGTGCGTGTGCGTGTGTGTGTGCGTGTATGTATGTGTGTACGGATACAAATTTTTGTCGACGATGTCGGGAACACGGATCAACCGATTTGAACAACTCAAGAAACATTCGATTCGTATTGATAAGGAGACGTGCTGATTAGTTTTTGGCGAAGGCATGTTTAGCCGTTCCGAAGATACGGGGCAAAAAGTGACGAAAACGGTAACTCAGTTTTTAAGAAAACGGAGCGTCCGATTTGAATAATTCAAAAACCATTTCACTTGTATTGACAAGATGAAGAATTGATCAAATTTTCATGAGGGCAGGTGTAGCGGTTTCGGGGATCCAATTAAAAAAGTAAAAAAAGGCCATTCAGCGGTTAAAAATGATCATTAGACATATGCACATCAGATTATCAGATATTTTATAGAGATTTTAACAATAAGTATTTTTTTTTACATTTCTATGGGTTCCGTACCAATACTTATGCGTTAGACGGCGGCGCGGGACTTGCGCGCTTTGACATTTCGTCTTTATGCAGTTAAAGCAGTATGATTGCTTTGAAAAAAAAGTTCAGAATTTTCAAAATATGTCAGCATGAAGAAAACATTTTTCTTTTCAAAAAAATTTTGTTTTCAAAAAAAAAATTTTTTTTTTCAAAAAAAAGTAATTTTTTGTCAAATTTATAGTTTCTCAAAAATCTAATTTTTCCGAAGTAAAATTTTTTCAAAAATGTTAATCGTTTTTAAAAAAATAATAATTTTTGGTACGGGAAGTTCCAGCAATTTGCCTTAAGGCACGATGCCTTAATTGCCTTAAGACAAAATTCCACTTACAGCTAGTTTAATTTTCCATTTATCAATATTTTTTAAATATGATCTGGAGGTGTACGGTAAGTTTACTTCAGCTAACAACAGACTTGTACTCTTCTAATTATTTGAAAAATATGAAAAAATGCGATTATATGAATAGAATAAAACTATAAAATTATATTACAATTTACAGTATCCAAAAATCTATCTTCATTTACAAGTGTACTTTATAGAATTTTCCAGCTTGCAATTAGTTATGTATAAAAACTAAACATTGTGTGAAGGTAATTTTATTCTAATAGTTATAATAGATTGATAAAAATATTTTGTCCATTTTTATTTCATCAATATTTATCCCGATGAAGAACAAAATATCAAGATTCAAAAATTTGTATATAAAATCATTGTTTTTCAAGGTGACCTACAAAGGGCCAACAATGTATTTTTAAATCTTGCTCAAGCACAAAAATAGATACATGGCATTGGAAAATTAATCCACAATAAATATTATATGGGATTTTGAGTTTATGTTTTATTTATTTGGTTTTTAATGTTAACATAATATATTAATCATTTAATGTAAATCAATGTAACCCATATTTGCATGCATTTAACGATATGTATTGGATGTTTAGATAAAAGAGCTTGATTTATAAAAGTTTACAATTGAAAATTAGCATATGATTTTTGATAACTTTTATATGATGAGAGGTATATTTAATAATAAAAATCATAATTTGAAAATTGTACAATTGAT